AACACCTCAAAATCATTAAAATCATTAAAATGGTTGTGTATATGTTCTTGTATAACCTTAAGAGAGATTCATAAAGTAGGGGGAAAGGTTGTAATCACATGTTCAGAAAATCAGTATTTTCTTCATTATTTACCTACAATTGACTAAGGCAGCAGGCACATCCAAGGACATAAGTTTTAACATCGATGCCAATGGTCAGATATCAGTTCAAACATCGATTTAACATTCCTGGAATAACAACCCATAGCAAGTTCAAGACTATCTTCTTTGGCAGTGAGTTTGTTAGCTTCATCAACAAGAGGGTCAACTACTGCCAGAGAAATCATTCCTCAGTAATGCACCTATACATGAGTATCACTACTCCTTAACAAGCTTTCTTGATTCAAAAAGAAAGAAAAAAATTGTGTATATCTAGTACTTATCTTTGACTAAGTTCTGTATGTATGAATCAAAGGTTCCCGGTTGCTGCTATACTTTCTTAGCATGCTATGATAATCGATTTTTCTAATGGAAATGAAAATGGAAATAAGACCTTACGTGTAAATTGCGACTGAAAAAGCTTCTTTCTACAGGCAATCAAAGCAAAAGGCGGTGATTTCCTTGAAGCTTCTGTTTCCGGCAGCAAGAAGCCTGCAGAAGATGGCCAACTAGTGATACTTGCTGCTGGCCACATAAAAAATATCTATTCATTAAATTATATTTGAGATATGTGTCATTAATATTTGAGATATGTGTGTCATTAATATAAGTACTCCTCATTTAGCCTAATTTCCTAATCAACTATTCATGCTGCCTGCTATTCATATTGTTGCACTCTCATTTGAAAACTTTTCAACCTGTAGCCGACATAAACTATAATAAAAGAACAGTGCATACTTGAAACGTTTAGGGGAAACAACTGCACCAATTCACCGTGTATCAATAAGAAGGAAGCACCTCATGTAATCATGTTAATTGGCTGCTGTAAATGCCAAAAGTGATCCTTATGATGTGTTTGATACACACCAAGGCACGTCACAAACAGAATAGTGTTATTAGACTAACACTTAGTCCTAACATAAGATGATAATCATTTAGAATAATTAACTATTTGTTTCTCTGAGGCATTTAATCGAACATCTAACATACATATAAATTATAAGAGCAAAAAATATCAATTCTAGTATGCTTAAGAAATACATGTGCTTTCCTTCAAAATAGTGATTCTGAAGCTTTAAAGAGAGACAAAGATTTGAAGTTAAAGATGCACAATGTTCTTCTCATTAAAGTGGCCTTGACACAGAACTACAAATATCCAAATGTAGAATCCTTCACTCGGGAAACCTCTTCGTGCAGAGGATGTTTTCAAAAACGATTTAGGATGCAAAGTAGCAACAAAGACCTACTTCGTGAGTATTGGCACCATTTTTTGAACAAGGATTAGGAGAAGGTCACAAATCAAATGAATTTGAGGGTTCCGTTGACACAACAAATCCATGAATTTTTAGGATTTGATGGAGGTGGCACACAACAAATTAAGGTTTTGAAGGGAGTGATGAACTGAAAATGCCATCATTGGAAACTTGCAAACAAAAACAGGACATCAACACTCAAAAGGAAGAAGCTGCAAGTTGCTGTTACTCATCCGGCGCCGTTATCGCAAAGCTACTGTCGTCGAAACCGGTGCTTGATGTTGGAAGTGGACTCGAGAGCGATGACGCCGCCATTTTAGATCAGAAAAATGAGGGTATCAATGGTGAGCTGAAGGAGTGTGGTTGAAGGGTTTTCTGGTTCGGAAATATGGGATGTTGATGGTGAAAAGAATGATGAAGGAGAAGCTTGAAGATGACAACGGTGGGGATAGTTTGACGACAAAAAAATGAGAGGAAAGGGTCGGCGACGAAAATGGACGAAGAAGATGGTGATGGGCAGGGGTGAAGGGTCTTCTCTATTTTTTGAAGAAGAGGGTTCCGATTGCGAGTGAAGGAGAGGAAAGGAGATGTTGGTGGCAGATCTAGGAGCGAAGGGGAAAGAACATTTTAGGATATTCTCCGTGAAAATGAATAGTACCCTATCTTAGTGAAGTTTAATAGCGTTTTTAAAAAAAGCGCTATCTTAGTGAAGTGTAATAGCGTTTTTAAAAAAAGCGTCATCTTAGTGAAGTTTAATAATAGCATTTTCTTACAAAGTGCTATCAAAATCACATTCTCTGTCCCCTATCTTAGTGAAGTTTAATAGCGTTTTAAAAAAAAACGCTATCTTAGTGAAGTTTAATAGCGTTTTTAAAAAAAACACTATCTTAGTGAAGTTTAATAATAACATTTTTTTTACAAAGTGCTATCAAAATCACATTCTCTGTCCCCTATAATAGCCCCCGACCATAAAGTGTTATTATATATGTGTTTGTTTTCTTTTTAATAGCATTTTTTTAAAAGCGCTATTAAATTAGGCGATACAAAATATCAATTTTGGCGTAGTGGTATGAGTCGGGAGAGAGTGTTGTGGTTGGACCTGAGATAGTCCAGCAGACTACTAATAAGGTTAAGATGATTCAGGAGAAGATGAAGATTTCTCAAAGTCTTCAGAAGAGTTATCATGACAAAAAGAGGAAAAACTTGAATTTCAAGAAGGAGATCATGTGTTTCTTCCATTTACTCCTGAAACTAGTGTTAGTAGAGCGTTGAAGTCGCGTAAGTTGACGCTGCATTTTATTGGTCCTTATCAGATTTTGTAGAGGATAGGAGAGGTAGCCTATCGAGTTGCTTTGCCACTGTCGCTTGCTAATCTCCATGACGTGTTCCATGTATCTCAATTGAGGAAATATATTGCGGACATGTCTCGTGTAATCCAAGTAGATGATGTGGATAGAGGATCGGAATTTAAAGTAACTTCAAGGTAAACTAGTTGTTTTGGTGAAGGTAGCTTGGGGAGGACCAGCTGGAAGGAATGTGACTTGGGAACTCGAGAGTCAGATGTGGAAGTTTTATCCTGAATTGTTCGTTTGAGAAAATTTTCGAGGGCGAAAATCTTTTAAGTGGGGGAGGGTTGTAACTCCCCAATTTTAGTAATTACTTATTTATTCATATTATATTAATTAATTAATTGAGTGATTTTGTGCATAATTGTTTTATTTGATTTAATTGAATTATTTGATTTAATTGATTTATTTAATTTGGTGGAATAGTATGTGGCAATGGTAGAAATAAGTAATTGGGCCTAGATTGGGAGTGTGAATAATAAGTGGGATAATGGGTTAATTAAGTCCATTAGAATAATGAGAAATTGTGGGATTTGATAAAATAAGAGAAATAGAGAATAGGGTTAGAAAGATAGAAAAGAGAAAAAGAGAGAAGTGAAGGAGAAAGACCCCAAGAACAAGAGCTTTAAAATCCAAGGAATCAAGGTAAGGGTGAGCCTTTACATGGTTATGGGATTGTATGATACTGTATGACGGGTAGTAGCATATTTAGGATAAAATCCCTAATTTCCATGGTGGTTATTATATGATGATTATATGATGAATTTATGTGTCTTATATGTGCGTATTCTTTTTTCTTTTTGAGGATTGAACCTATATCCATCAATTTCAAAGTTGTTAGGCATAATCTTAAAACAATTATTAAATGTTGTAATTGTGTTAAAACTGTAAATTTACTTGAGATAATTACAGTATTATATGTGTTGTAATTTTCCGAGAGTTTGGGTTTTTACGGAATCAAACTCGGAGTTCCGGAAGGCCTCCAACGGTGAAAAACACAAAAAATTCTGCATAGCGTATAGAGCGAGCCTTATAAGTATGTATATGGCCACTCCTGGGAAGGCGTACTGGCAACATTAAAGTCGATTTTTAGGTATATCAATGGATATATGAGCATAGTATTGATTTATGGTAGAACCTGTGGTGATGATAGCAAAGTTGAAATGGAATGATTTGTTGACTCTGATTATGTAGGTTGTTTGGATTACAGAAAATCTATTTCTGGATATGTGTTCACTATGTTTGACACAACAATTAGTTGAAAAGCAACACTTTAGAAGGTTTGTACCTTATCAACCATTGAAGCAGAATATATTTCTCTCACTAAAATTGTGAAAGAAGCATTGTGGCTTGATAGTTTTGCTAAAGAGATGAAACTTCAAGGTTGAGTTATCAATATTAAATATGATAGTCAAAGTATAATACACATGTCGAATAAATTAGCCAATCATGAGCGAACCAAGCACATCGATGTGAGGATGCACTACGTTAAAGAGATAATCGAGTGTGGAGAAGTCCAAGTGCTGAAGGTTTCGAATGATAAAAATTCTGCAGATATGATTAACAAGACATTGCCAAGTAGCAAGTTTCTCCACTGTATGCAGTTGATAAAGCTAAACGAAGAAAGCTAGTTTATTCCCTTGTTAGTGTAGAGTTTGTTCCAACGTAGAGATTTGTGGTTTTTTAGATCGAACTCTAGTATCGACAAGGGTAATTTATTGATTCGACAGTAGTCGTGCATGCTGTAATCGAAGTCTGTTCAAACATGTTGTCGAAATATATTATTGTAATTTAAGTTGGTATGTTGAATTGTGTCTTGTTTGTAAGCCCAATTGTTTAAGTTTGTTTGTTTCTCAAATTAGGTTAGTAGTTAATTGTTGGTTTTCACGTGTAACCTTTGAACACTTGTTGAGTAAGTTAATAGTAAAACAGTTTTAAATAATTCTTCTTCTTTTTCTTTCTTATTCTTTATCTTTTGTAAAACTAATAGTTTTTCGTTTTTGTTCAAAAACCTCAATTTTTTTCCTCATATTTTAGTTTGTTCTTGACGACATCAATTCACAACATTAACCTTATCATACAAGTAAAAAACAATAAAACAAAACTCAACATTGTATTATTCAACCCTAGTCTTTATTGTGCGACAAAGTTGGAAAAAATATAATATAAAATAAATGCCAAGATAAGAGAGGTGACTTTATTAAGTACACATTCCAAATTTATATAGTTATAAATTTTATTCAAAGGATCATAAGATACTGTTTTAAGGATAAATTTCGATAAGAGACAGTAAACCAGTCAAAGGAGATATTTTATAGTCTTTAAAGCCAGCTTCCACAAAGAGCTTCTTCCATTCTTCCTCATTTCTCTCTTTTCCATTGATACATGATATGAATATATCCATTTGCAGCTTTATCTGAGTAATTTGGATATCATCTTTCTTTTCATTTATCACCACATCTATGATAATTACTTTTCCTTTTTTCTCATCACTTGTAATTGCTTCTTTACATTTTTTCAGTATCTTTATGCAATCCTTATCAGTCCAATCATGAAAAATAAACTGCAAAAAAGACAAATTAAATAAGATACTTAGTGATAATTAGGGTTTATGGTAAAATAAAATAAAAACACATACCTTAAGCAGAACTGCATCAGCTCTAGGAATGGATGTAAACATGTCTCCACCAACATATGTCAAATTGCTGTTTCCAGATAAATTCTCTACGACTTCTGGACGATCAAACACAACACATTTCAACTTAGGAAATGTCTCAGAAATAATCTTTCCCATTGTTCCATTTCCACCACCAACATCCACAATTGTTTCCAACCCTTCAAACACCAAATTACAATCTTTCATCGCAAAGTTTATTATTTTGGTATCACTAGCCATTGCCTCATTAAAAGATATGTGATGTTCAGGGTTTGTATTAAGAAACACCCATAAATCAGATCCTAAAGTTACGTCGAAGAGTGTAAGATCTTCTTCGTAAATCCACTCTTTTAGTTGATGGAAAGAACCTAAAGCTGCTGGATTAAGATAACCCTCAACAATTGGAGCCAAGCAAAACTTAGTGCCTTTAATAAGAAGCTCTGAAGTGACAGTGAGAGCATAAGCTTCTTCTTCTTCATTTTCAAACTCTTGATTTTTTACTATCTCAATGAGTCCATTGTGTGCAAGGTAACGCATGAGACGCTGAACATTACCAACTTTGGATGATGGAATTTGAAGAGTTGAAACTAAGTTTGAAAGAGAAATTGGTTGGCCATGATTGTGGATAATGTTTGGTATATTCATCTCAATACACCATTTAAGACACATGGAATCTATGAAGGCGTACATGTGTTTGTATAGTTGAGCTTGTGCTTTGAAAATTTCACTTGGTTTGCGGCTATTCATTGATGAAGCCATTCTTTTGTGGATGTGAGGTTTTGGTTTTGTGTGTATTTGTGATGTTTCAGAATTTTATTTGCTTTATATAAGGTTTCAACTTTTAACGCCCTGTGTAAATGGGAGTTGAAAAAATCATATAATAGTAACACGTTATATGACTATTGATTTCTTATTTTAAAAACAAACTAAGACTATGAATTTGTAGTCATAATTTCATAATTAATGTAATATGTAACTATCATTACGTTTTTATATTAAACTTTAATTCCACCGTGCAAAGACCAACACTTAAAATAGAAATTTCTCTAGAAAGTCGACAGAAAGCGTCAGAACCATAGGAAGGCGTTTTAGAAAAAGTAACTAGCAGAGGAGGAGATGCAGGTCGGTCGGTGGCGGTTCAGTTTAATTCGGTCCGCGGAGCTTTGGGTTTTCGGTCAACCTGTCAGGTTTTCTCGATTCGTATGTTTTGGGCTTCTAAGTTTTAATCGATGGATTAATATATTAATTGATTTACTTTTGAATTTGTATGGGTTTGTTGGATTTCTGCAATTATAAATATGTATTTCTAATATTTATTACGGAAAACACATATAATGACGTTGTTGAGAAACATATATAATAGTGTTTGATTGTATGTATGTTGGTTTCCACAACGAACGAGTGAACGTGGTTATAAGTTAGGTAGTGCGGTGTTTACAACAACGGTTAAGTCAAACAACTATTGTGAAATAATATATAAGTGTTGAATCCAATATTCAGTTGCAGTTAAATTAAAGCGCTTTAAAAATAACATTGGTTGTATGTTTAAAAATTTATTATAAAATATAGACTTTTGTTTTTCTTTACTCCTTATTAGTTATATACAGTTATTGAAAAAGAAATTAGATAATAAACAAATAATATAAATTATTCTTAAAAAAACAACTTAAACAGTAAAATATTTATATAATTTCATTCATTTTATAATTCACAATTACATCATTAACTTATATAACTTGATTCAGTTTCAAATTTTTCAAAGGAAAGATAAGGAATGGATGTCTTAAGTAAGAATTAATATATATACACTTGAATTAAGTTTATGGCTCCACTACTATATCTAGATGCGTATGTCTAAAAATCTGAATTCTTTTAGCATGTATTAGCCGCCATCTCGCAAGTAATAAAAATCTACAAGCGTCATCCTTCCTATAATGTCTATGTCAACAGTTGTCGACTTTTCATTTTGAATAAGTCAAATTATGGTTGATGAAATTTCCTACAATACAAAATCTCATCAGTACACTTAGTTTGAAACGATAAGGACGCTGATATATTTTCCTGCATTTGAATTTTCAATTTTCAATCTCTACACATTTAAGGTGGATAAATCAAATTACTAGATTATTTTTGGTAAAAAACTAAAATATGAAGACGTTCTAATTTTCGAAAAGAAATAAAACGTATTACAAAAACATTCATCCAATGGTCTTCTATATGTTATTCAATATTGTTATGTTAAATTGAGTATTCATCTAAGTCTAAAATTGTATTAAAAAAAAAGTAAAGTTAATAAATTTGGTTGGTCGCAACAGTTGTGAAAGAATCAATATCGTAAGTACTGAAACCGATTACTGTGTTTTTGTAATAGGTTACAAGGTGTACTATTTTTGCCTATTATAATAGGTGTAATTGATTTCTGCGTTTTAATAATCGGTACCATTGAGTTGAAAGTTAATTGTAAAAATAGTTATAACTACAAGTTTGGTGTATGCGGTTATAGGTAGTTAATTTTATTTTTTCTATTATTTTAACATGTTACTTGTGACCTAATCTATTGTACTTGTATATATGCATTTGAGGTATTACTGTATAATTAATGGGAATGTTTTATGAATTTAATTTCATCATTAATTAATCTATCTCACTCTCTCCGTTACCATTATTTTTAGCAATCTTGTGCTTCCAAGTTCTAATATTTGACATCAAGACCTAGCACTATTATAAAAAAACTCATTTAACCTCGGAAATGAAGTTGTTTTAACCTTAGTTATAGAGAAGGGGTAAGGAAGGGCTACAAGAAAACTCTCTACTAATAAATTTTTGGTTAATAAAAATTGCGAAAGCACTTTGTTAATTAATTAGGAGAGTTTAATATTACTAAAAGATGATTTTGAAACTATTTTTTGACGCGTTTATAGGATTAGAATTCAGTTGTCCGAGCAAATTCCGAAAACCCTTTTAAATTAAAATTTTCAATCAAGATTACTTTTCAACTGAGATAAATAAGTGATTACTAAAGGATTTTCTACTTTAACGCAAAACGCAATCGGTTACGCGTGAGCGGACGGTGTAGATTTAAAGATAAAGTCCGGTTCCGAAAAATCGAAAGTGACGGTTCCTTTTTAATTAAATTCTTTTTCTTAGAAGAAAATATTTTCTCGTTGGTAGTGCTATTTAGAGATATTATGAGTGTCGTGGATTCACGAAAGGAACATTCTAGTGTTATACCTTTGAATTTATTAAATATTTGTTACTTTATTTTGTTTTTATTCCAACACCTTTTGCGACCGTCTTAGATAAACACCGTAGAAATAGAAGACGGTCAATTGATCATTAGGTCTCTGTGGGATTCGACAACCTTTTATATTACTCTGATACACTCCGTATACTGTAGATATCACACATCAAGTTTTTGGCGCTTTTGCCAGATGTAACACCCCATTTTATTTTAATTAATTGAAATTATCTGGTGTTGTGTTTATGTATGCGTTTATGTTTAATTGAAATTATCTTGCGTTGTTGTATGATATGATTGTTGTGAAGTAATTGATGGCGATATTGTTTAATTGGTTTGTGATGAATGATGAAATGTTTAATTAACATGTGATGAATGATGAATTGTTTAATTGGTATGCGATGAATTTTGTTGCCTAAATGTGTGGAAATTCTATTTTGGAAGTGTTGATAACTTCCTCCATTGTTGAGTTTTGAAGTTTTGAATTGTAGGTATAAAATTGATGATGATATGATGTTAATCTATGAGTAAAACAAGGTATAGTTGAGTTTTAGGATATTAATTTAGTATAAAATTGAGTCTATGATGATGGGATTACGTAGCATAGATTCTGGTATGAAAAGCTGGTGTAATAGTGCGTTTAATAAAAGTGATTTTTGAGCTTCGTGTCAGCATGGGCCGAACTGAAATTCCAATGTGCTGACCAGAAATGGTTATGCACCGACCTGAGCGTCAGCACATAGGCGGAAGCAAAACAGGCTTAAATACTGCAACACATGTCTCGACCTGAAACAATTATGTGTCGGCACATGCTCTCAGCTTTTGCAGAAAAATGTTAAAAACTATTTTGATCATAACTTTTAACCATTTATCTGAATGACAAACCGTTTGGAGCGTTGGAAAGCTAATAACTTAAAATTTTATATGATATAACTAGGTGTACCATTTTCCCAATATTTTTTATGTTTAATATGTTGAAGAATGTGACTATTAAGTGTTGTGTATGTTAAGAAGTCTTGTTGTAAGCGACGAAACTTGAATGTTGTTATAAAGATATTGTTGTGGTGTTAATGGTGTTATATGAGCATGACAAATCCTTTCGCAAGAAAGAGAACAAGATATATTGTGGTGCATGTAAAGAGTTTCTTGTGGAATGATGTGTTGGCGATATCTGAGCAATTTTAAAATAAGAATTTTCCCCTAGATTTTATAATAACCGAGATAATATATTAGTTGCTAAACATGGTGAATAAATTTTTTTATACGATGTGTTGTTTCCTTTTTATTTGTTTACCATTCACCATTTTTTTGTACTACAATTGTTTGAAATTTACATCATGTTTAGGAATAAATTTCTTAATGTTGTAAATCGAGGAAACTAATAAATTATGGAGTATTTTCTTTGATTAACAAAATAGAAAGGTTATTCAAAAAATACAAGAACAACATCAACATCATTGTATAAGATGGATTGAACAAAAGATCTTTGTTATTATGAAGATTTTGTTGTATACCCTTTGTATGCATTTATTTAAAATTCACTGGATTGCATGCACCCAATTTCTAATAAGTTATTTGTTCCTACCATAGGAAAAAAAAGCTTTCTGCACTTGCAATCTATTCCAGAGATTTGTTCAAAGATTTCACTATCTTGAACAAATATTTTAATGGAAATTTCTTTCACAAGAAAGAAAACAAGATACGTGTGCTTGCAATTTACAATATGTTTAGTTATAAAATTATCAATGTTGTCAATCAAGGAAAGGAATAAATTATGGATTGTTTTCTTTGATTGACAACATACGAAGGTTATTTCAGAAATACAACAATAACATCGACACCATTATGTTGCGATGGATTGCAAGAGTAGAAAAATGTTTTGTTTAATATATTAGAACATTTAAGATTTTGTATATCTTGCAATCCATCTGAAAGTATGATGTGTATAAGTTTGGAGAGATTACATATATGTTAGATTTAGAGTAAAATCTGATTAAAGAATATTTTTTTTAGTAAAATGTGATTATCAAATCCCTCGATTATTAAAGATATGGAATAGATCATTAATTTAAAAATAGAAAATAAAATAAAAAGAAAGGAATTACTTTTAAAAAAACTAGCGTCCAGACGGGCACTCGCGTGCCCGTCTGTCCGCTTTTTTATTGCACACATATAAATATAAATGATATATTTTTATTTAATATTAATTTTACATGGATGTTACGTGGGAAGTTATTAGTAGGGAGTTATATGAAAGATGATAGTAATAGTTCAATGGAAGTTATTGTGTAAGTTATATATTTTAAAATAAGGGTAAATTTGGTATAAAAAAAAGCTACACCAAAAACCAAGTATTACCTTTATATATGTTATAGATTATAGATTATAGATAAACTATAAAACTATTGATATTTAAATTCGAAGCATGTCTATTATTCTTTTTTTATCTATTATTATTAGAAACCATGAGAATATGTGGTATTTATTTAAAAAAATAATATTTATAGAAAAATAAATAAAA